GGTGGGCCCGGATTCCGATGAATGGCTCGAGGCCATAAAATCCGAGAGAGGATCCATGTATGAAAACAAAGTGTAGACTTTGGCAGAACGGCTCGATGGTCGTGAGGCTGTTGAGTACAGATGGATTTTAAAAGGAAGACAGACAATGATGGTAAGTATCACCATTAAGAAAGCTCGACTTGTCGTTAAGATGTTTTCCGACAAGTTTAAGGAGTTGACTACGATGAGACTTTCTCACTCGTAGCGATGCTAAGAGTCTGTTGGATTTATGTTAGCGATTACTGCATTATTTATGAAATCTTGCAGATAGGATGTCAAAACATTGTTTCCTCGACGATTTTTGAGGAAAGGTTGTATGTGATACAACCGGAAGGTTTTGTCAATCCTAAAATATGCTAATAAGTATGCAAAGCTCCAACAATCTTTCTAAGGACTGGAGTAAGCATGTCGGAGTTGGAATGTAGGCTTTGATGAGATGATCAAAGATTTTGGTGTATACAAAGTTTATGAGAAACTTGTATTTCCAAAGAAGTGAGTGGGAGCACTATAGAATTTCTGATGAGTATATGTTGTTGACATATTGTTGATCAGAAATGACGTAGAATTTCTGAAAAGCATATAGGGTTATTTGAAAAGTGTTTTTCAATGGAAAGCCTAGATTAAGCTACTTGAACATTGAGCATCAAGATCTATAAGGATAGATCAAAACGCTTAATGGTACTTTCAAATGAGCACATACCTTGACATGATCTTAAAGGTGTTCAAGATAGATCAGTCAAAGAAGGAGTTCTTGCCTGAGATGTAAGGTATGAAGTTAAGACTTAAAGCTCGACCACGGCAGAAGAAAGAGGAAAGACGAAGGTCGTCCCCTATGCTTTTGTCATAGGCTCTCTACAGTATGCTATGCTGTGTGCCGCACCTGAAGTGTGCCTTGCCATGAGTCAGTCAAGGGGTACGAGAGTGATCCAAGAATGGATCACAGGACAGCGGTCAAAGTTATCCTTAGTAACTAGTGGACTAAGGAATTTTCTCGATTATGGAGGTGGTAAAAGAGTTCGTCGTAAAGGGTTACGCCGATGCAAACTTTGACACTAATCCAGATTATTCAGAGTAGTAAACTGGATTCATATAGTAGAACGGTCATTTGGAATAGCTCCAAATGTAGCGTAGTAGTTGCATCTACAAGATGACATAGAAATTTGCGAAGTACATACGGATCTGAATGTTACAGACCCGTTGACTAAAACCTCTCTCACAAGCAACATGATCAAACCCAGAACTCATTGAGTGTTAATCACATAGTGATGTGAACTAGATTATTGACTCTAGTAACTCTTTGGATATTGGTCACATGGCGATGTGACCTATGAGTGTTAATCACATGGCGATGTGAACTAGATTATTGACTCTAGTGCAAGTGGGAGACTGTTGGAAATATGCCCTAGAGGCAATAATAAATTGGTTATTATTATATTTCCTTGTTCATGATAATCGTTTATTATCCATACTAGAATTGTATTGATAGGAAACTCAGATACATGTGTGGATACATAGACAACACCATGTCCCTAGTAAGCCTCTAGTTGACTAGCTCGTTGATCAATAGATGGTTACGGTTTCCTGACCATGGATATTGGATGTCATTGATAACGGGATCACATCACTAGGAGAATGATGTGATGGACAAGACCCAATGCTAAGCATAGCACTAGATCGTGTAGTTCGTATGCTAAAGCTTTTCTAATGTCAAGTATCATTTCCTTAGACCATGAGATTGTGCGACTCCCGGATACCGTAGGAGTGCTTTGGGTGTGCCAAACGTCACAACGTAACTGGGTGGCTATAAAGGGGTACACTACGGGTATCTCCGAAAGTGTCTGTTGGGTTGGCACGAATCGATACTGGGATTTGTCACTCCGTGTGACGGAGAGGTATCTCTGGGCCCACTCGATAGGACATCATCATAATGTGCACAATGTGATCAAGGAGTTGATCACGGGATGATGTGTTACGGAACGAGTAAAGAGACTTGCCGGTAACGAGATTGAACAAGGTATCGGGATACCGACGATTGAATCTCGGGCAAGTATCGTACCGATAGACAAAGGGAATTGTATACGGGATTGATTAAGTCCTTGACATCGTGGTTCATCCGATGAGATCAACGTGGAGCATGTGGGAGCCAACATGGGTATCCAGATCTCGCTGTTGGTTATTGACCGGAGAACGTCACGGTCATGTCTGCATGTCTCCCGAACCCATAGGGTCTACACACTTAAGGTTCGATGACGCTAGGGTTATAAAGGAAGTTTGTATGTGGTTACCGAATGTTGTTCGGAGTCCCGGATGAGATCCCGGACGTCACAAGGAGTTCCGGAATGGTCCGGAGGTTAAGATTTATATATAGGAAGTCCTATTTCGGCCATCGGGACAAGTTTCGGGCTCACCAGTATTGTACCGGGACCACCGAAAGGGTCCCGGGGGTCCACCGGGTGGGGCCACCTTCCCCGGGGGGCACATGGGCTGTGGGAGGTGCGCCTTGGCCTACATGGGCCAAGGGCACCATCCCCAAGAGGCCCATGCGCCAAGAGATAAGGAAAGGAAGAGTCCTAAAGGGGGAAGGCACCTCCGAGGTGCCTTGGGGAGGAGGGACTCCTCCCTAGCCGCACCCTTCCTTGGAGGAGGGGCCAAGGCTGCGCCCCCCCCCCCCTCTCCCTTGGCCCTATATATAGTGGGGGGAAGGGATGGCAAACCAATCTAAGCCCTGGCGCCTCCCTGTCCCTCCCGTGACACATCTTCCTCCTCTCCCGTGGTGCTTGGCGAAGCCCTGCAGGATTGCCACGCTCCTCCACCACCACCACGCCGTTGTGCTGCTGCTAGATGGAGTCTTCCTCAAGCTCTCCCTCTCTCCATGCTGGATCAAGTCATGGGAGACGTCACCGGGCTGTACGTGTGTTGAACGCGGAGGTGCCGTCCGTTCGGCACTAGGATCATCGGTGATTTGGATCACGACGAGTACGACTCCATCAACCCTGTTCACTTGAACGCTTCCGCATAGCGATATACAAGGGTATGTAGATGCACTCTCCTTCCCCTCGTTGCTGATTTCTCCATAGATAGATCTTGGTGACACGTAGAAAAATTTTGAATTTCTGCTACGTTCCCCAACAACACTCACCCCTATAAACGCACACACGCATACCTACCCCTACGAGCACCTCCGAAAGACTGAGCCGGCATATCATCTTGAAATTTACGAAGTCACCGTAGGCACCTCATCGTCGACGGGAACGTCTCCTCCCACTGAATGCGCATCGCCGAAAATCCTAAAATAAATCCAGGAATAAATGCGAGCACCAGGATTTGAACCCTGGTGGGCTGGGGATACCACAGTCTCTCTAACTATCCAACCACAGGTTGGTTCGCTAAATTGTTTATTTCTTAGCATGATTCCACTTACTAAAATATGTTTCCACTTATGAAAATATATGCTTCCTAGTCCTGACCATCAAATAGATGCATGGGAGCACATGAAAAAACTAATGAAGCACGTGAACGAAGCAGAGGGAACGAGCGAAGAGACCACCGGGGTTAGCGCTAGGAATAAATCTGACGTGATTTACGGGATTGGTAGTTAGTAAACAAATCTCCGCATGCAAACTAACTACGCAAGTCCTGCTTTTACGGACCAATCTTCACGCTCCGGCCTCCTAATTAATTACCTAATCGGACGTATACCTTGCTCTCAATCGGACGGTGCAAGACTGGTCTGATAGATGCAAGCTAACAGTAGTTTGATGCCTACTGGTGTCCTCAGTGGAGTTAAAATGATAGATTAGAGCTAGCTGCAATGAATTACATCAATAGGTGTTGTTTTATCAAAAAAAAATACCGAAGAGTTAGTGTTCTTTGCAAAATCGACCCCAATACTTAGTGGTTTGTGCAATTTCCTAACCCCCCTCAATGGTACAGAGAAGCGGCATCTTTATAAGATGAGATGGTTGTGAAATATCACCATGTGAAAATGCATAGAATTTGACAACTGCTAAGCAAATCCTTGTGCAAATCTCATGTTGACACTACTTGTACATTGTTGGAGTATGTTAATTTGCAAAACCAAGTCTTCACGTCGGCCCCTTTTTGTTGTTGTTGGAAAACCTATTGACCACCCTTGTGTTACCAGCTGTATTGTTGAAGAATAATCGTAACATCCGGATGTTTATGCACATAGGACAGGGCGTTGTTTAATTTTCTGTTCTGACTAAAGCGTGCACCATTTTATTGTGTGGTAAGCACATAGACAATAGGCATCATGTAGTATCTGCACCATTCATGTGAGCTCTTACGGTATCTGCACCATTCATGTGAGTTCTTGAACGACAGTGATGGCATGTCGCTGCGGAGGCTTCATTTCATCACAGGCCTCACACTTCCATCAAGCCCAATCAGAAGCCACACTCACGCACTTATCAAGCCAAATCGGAAGCTACACTAAAGCATAAGCACAACATAGCCCAATTATTGCCCACAACCTGCCAAACTTTATTCTTTCAGTACACCTATCTATTTCAAGATTACGAACTTCGGTTCCACATCCGTTTGTGCGTCCAATTAAGCTCTCCGGCTTGCATAGCGTGACTTTCCTAATTAAATCACTAAATAAATTTTGCACAAATCAGTGAACATCTTTTAATTAGGGTAAACGTGAGGTTAAATACATGAATTCCATACTTCCATAGTGGGTTTTAATAATTATTTTTTGCGAGATTTTGCTTGTGCATGTAGATACTTGTCAACTCAAAATAGTCACTCCTAAACCAGTTAAATCATCTCCAAAAATCCATAGTTCATTTCATGACAAATTATCTTCTCCGTGAATACGATACTGAAACTTTTAAAACCAAACTTGCATAGGGATTGATATTTTTTAACAAACTACACAAAAGGTTCAACTGAAGATTTTGAGCATAGACTATGCTCTTGTGCGCTTATTGTAACGTTCATTTCTTCTCGGGATCAATCCAGATGCAAAGGGAGCTAAAGCTCTGAGCAGCCGGCGTGCAGCAGCTCTCGCAGAAATCGTTGATGCGGTTTGTGCACTGGAAGCTGTTGTGGCCTGATGGCGGACATGACACAGCTCTTGCACTTGGTCGACGGTAAAAAACCCAGGAGCTTAAGTAATTCCAACGCGTGCACCCCGGAGAGTTGGACTTGGTGCACGAGTCACAGTTGTCGCAGGACGGCCATGGGTTCGCCACTGCAGGCAGCAAACAAGCATCGGTAAGCTGCTATACTGACCTACTCGAGGAGGAGCAAAACAGAAGCGATTTTGACACAGTGAAATGGATGAACAAAGAAAGAAGAATCCCGGCCTCACCTTGGCTGTGGGCGAGGGGCAGTGCTGCGAGGACAGCGAACGCGACGAGCAGCACCTGAGGCCTCATGCTTTGCAAGGATGGGCCTGGTTTGAACTTTGGAGGGAGGGACCTCGTGCTTTGGCTTGGCTATTCCGGGACTTGTCAATGCTCATCAGCGTGGTCGCCTCCATTGTCAGTCTTTTTGGTTAGTTTGTGTGGATGTTGAGAGAACAATTATTGTGAAGAAGAAAGCCAGGAGGACTATACTAGAGGATGTACGAGCTCGGTCCTTGATTGCTACCTGTTGGGAATCTTCAACTAGGATATGCTCAGAAACGTGTGGACGAGATGGACGGAATCCAATAAATTTCCTTCAACGAATCTGACTATTCCGGTAGTGGGGATGGGCACGGCATCACAGAAATGATGAGAGGGGAGAAGATATCACGAAGGTGCGCTGTGAACAGAGCGAGGAGCTGGCCGGCTAGCCGAAGCTGAGAAAGAAGCATTTTTTTCTCGAATACGCATAAGCAGAGAAGAAGCGGCAAAGAAGCCGGGCACACATCCCACCTGTACTATGATACATGCATCACCTAGATCAACCCATGCCAATGGCAATAAGGCAAATCACAGAGCTATCAAGCCGCGTCACAGCCAACACCAAAGACCTCTACAACATGACCAACATCTGAGGACAGCACAAACCAACATAACCCACCCATTTGCGCTAAGAGGAAGTCGGCAGGTGGATGGCAGGGCTTGGTCAGACCTGAAGTGGCGTCGTCGAGAGAGCGTCGGCGACGATGTACATTGCGCCTCGAAGGCCCAAGCCCAGAGCAATTGCCGACACCAACTTGAGCCGCACCATCGGGACTCCTCGAGCAACAAGACGATGCCTCCATGGAGGGAACGCTGCCATCACCTGCTCCGAAAGTCAGACCAAGGGTTTCCCCCGAGCACGAGGGAGGGAGTCGGATCAGGGCCAAGACAATGCCTCCAGGAAGGGGACGGCACCCGCGGGAGTTGACATTGTCAGCCTCGGCCATCGCCAAGCAGGGATTTCTTCCAACCCCAGATCACATATCCTCATGTCCGGAGCTTCTCAAACGAGTCAGCCACCGCTGCTGCAGGAGGAGAGGGCATATCGTAGTATAGTATCCGCCACCACCGCATGAGCCAGATCAAGAACAGAGCATGGCAGCCTACCTAGATCAAAGCCGCAACCACAACACCACCTCCACCGCGACCACATGGCACCACCACCTCCACCGCGCATCATAGCACGCCACCACCACCACCTCCACCGCACATCACAGCACGCCACCACCACCACCTCCGCGCGAGGCATCACGAAGACCACCCCGGAATGCGCCGCCATGCCAAGCCCCGCCAGCCGCCGGACAGAGCAGACCCCGGGCGCTCGCGGCACCAGATCCAGGCCAAGCCCAGACCCACCGCATTCCCGCAACTCAGGCCATCCTCAACCATGCCGTGGAGGCCGCCGACCGGTGCTCGAACCACCACCCCGCAGCAAACGGATCTTGCAGGAGGACCACATATCTGCCGCCACCGGCGGAAGCCACAGCCGGCTACCCACGCTGCCCACGCAGTTGTGGTTGCACCGCCCCAGCATCCGAATTCCGCCGCCCCGCATGGCACCAAGGGGCACCGCTGCGCGCCAGCTGGAGGCCTCGTCGTGGAGCAAGGAGGCGAGCCCGCCACCGCCGTCTGCCGGACGTGCTTCGCTCACCGGCTTCCTCCGGTGGCGGCGGGAAAAGCAGGTGGATTGCGGAGGGGGTCGGGGGAGGCGGCTAGGGTTCACCCAAGCCGTCCCCCTGGAGGCAGCGCGAGCGAACGTGTTTTTTCCAGTGACTAACAAACATAACTGTTACAAGACCGAGAATGGTGTACCCCGGCGCTCCCACCCCTTCGTCGTACCCTAGGTCTGTCAACCATGCCACCTGCATGGCCGTGGTTGCCCACCCACACCTGAGACACACGCTCGGCCCCCAAACGACATGCCTCCCGCTGCCAGAGCCGCCGCCCTGCAACCATACAACCCCGAGACTGCACAAAGGCCCCTGCTTTGGCCCAACCGGCAGCCCCCAACCGATGGAGCCTCCAACAGACGCTCCACTCCAAACATCGGCATACCTGCACCAACCCGCCCGCGGCCAAGTATATGGGGAGAAGGAGGGGACGCATCCAGACTGATAGACTTGTGCTTGCGACAAGCGACACGACTGCATCGAGGCCACCCCATCCCTCCTACTGAGTTCCCCTATCAACATGGGGAAAGGTGGAGGAGGAGCGAACGCATCCGGACCAGCACACCAATGTGCCGGTGACAAGTGAAATGTGCATCGAGGTCATCAATTCCTCCTACCGAGCTCCACGCCGAACACGAGGAAAGGGAGAGAAGAAGGAGCAGACGCATCCGGACCGCCAAACACCTATGCCGGCAACAAGTAACGCGGCTGCATCGAGGCTACCCACCCCTGCTATCGAGCTCCCCATCAAACACACTGCCATGTCGCCCCACCATGGCAGCCGACATACATGCCCGCGAGGCCACCACCAATCGCGCGCCCACCGACAAGAGGTACTAAATCGACCCGCAGCGCAGCCAAGGTAGTCACCAGGGAGGCCCTCCCGCCCCGAGCGCCGCCATCCAGCCGCAAGGGCCCGACTGGACGGGGGACTCCCACCCCCACTGTTGTCGCGCCGCCCCTTCACCATCGCACCGCGGTCAGAGAGGCTGCCCGTGGCCCAGGCCGCCCACGACCCGCAGCGTCAGAGGCGGATCCGGATGCGCTGCAGCCATCACCACCCGTTGGCCTACACCTCTACCATGCTACCGGTCGCACCGCCGCCCCGCCACTGTCACCGGCCCGCTCAAGAGAGATGACGTGCTGCCACGGCCGGCACCTACCGCCACATCCCGGCCAGTTAGATCCGGCCCGCACAACACCCCCCGCGTGAGTACACAAAGGAGGCCCTGGTGCCGCCCACAATGTACAGACTTCGCCCGCGCGTGCCCCCTGGCGGTGGCGAGGGAGGGGGAGGAGAGGAGGGGAGGCGGCGGCCCTAGGGTTAGCCTCCCGGGCGCTTGCGGGGGTGTCGCGGGAGGAGGAGGAGGGGAGATCCAATCTGCTATTTTTCACACGCTTCCATTATTAGTGACGACGACATTGTGACACAGGTCTTTCCACTAGGCTGAGGGGCCACTAGTAGAAAAAGGGCCATTTGTCCCGGTTCGTAAGGGCCATTTGTCCCGGTTGCTGAGCCGGAACTAAAGGGTCGTTATAAAGCCCTAGGCCTTTAGTCCCGGTTCTTACACGAACCGGTACAGATGGGCCTCCACGTGGCCGGTGAGGCGAGCACAAGCAGGAGGCCCTTTGGTCCCGGTTGGTGGCACCAACCGGGACCAATAGGCATCCATGCGTCAGCAGCTCGCAAGAGCTGAGGTTTTTGTTTTTTTAAGGGGTGGGTTTTGGGGGGTTAATTTAGGTGTTTCATATATTGTGTTAGTTAGCTAATTAATAGAGAGAAGTGTCCTCTCTTATCCCCGTGCTTGGTCGACGCTACGTACTATACGTATAGAGAGGACTCGACACGCTAGCTAGTAAGCAAAAATGAAGGAAACAGAAGATCGTCATGAACATATGCATACAGAGAGAAGTGATATCGACCTCTCCTTCTCCGAGAGATCGGTCGAACAACAAGTTTTCGTATATCTATCCGACGCTACTGGCTACATATATACAATATAAGATCTCTTACAATATAATCCCCTAATTATATATGAACTCAGGGTCCACATGGTATTCTCCGTCTTTATCGATCACGTGGTCAAGAAAGAATGCCGCCAATTCCTCTTGAATTGCTCGCATGCGATCTGGTGCTAGGAATTCATCCCGCATCCGAAACATCTAATTTGAAGAAGGGGGTCAATACATATATATGAATGAATGAAACTCAACACAAATGATGGTAATAAAATAAAATTCTGAATATTATTGCTTACGCACTTCATATTGTTTTTTAGTGTAGCCCCGCTCACAGGTCATGTGGCGGATGGACTCGCAAACGTAGTATCCACAGTAATTATTCCCGGCTTCCTGCCATAAGCACTTTACAAGAAATAGAGGTCAATCAAACTGATAAGCAAGCATGCTAAATGGTATTGATAAAATTAGCGCTTGAATCACTAGGAGATGCGCGGAATATGCTAGTAGTACTTACTTTCGGGTGTTTAAATTGCAGCTTCTTTGGCAGTACCAGAGCTTTTGAGGTGAATTTTTTACAAACCTTGCGAGACAAAGAAAACAATTACTTGATATCAGGAAGTCAACAAAGTTGCCGATATGGTGTGATAATGATCAATTTAACTTACTTCTCGAGCATTTGAGTCATGTCCGCATACTCCTGGGGATCTTTTGGTCTCGAGTCTAAGACGGTTACTAGTCCCTGCTCAAGCTTAATCTCTAGGAGAGTATAGTGGAACCTGCGCACGCATGCATAACTCATCAATTACATTACTATAACCTCAACTAATAAGGGAAACCGAATATGCACAAGAAAGTAACACTCACTTGAAGTTGTAAGGAAAGAGTATTATAGCTTTGTTTTGATTTAATACCAACGATCGTAGCAAGTTGGCCTCGGTATCTTTTTCCTGAAATTCAACCGAATATGCATCTATGAGATTTGTGTTAATGAACCCAATATCACCGATTTGTCTTTTCTTCAATTCGGCGACCTTCAATCTGCATAATCTAGTGAGGATAATTATAAATACATGCAATAAAAGAGCTGACCTATATATAAAGACTTAATGACAGAAGTAGTACTTACAGATAGTAGCAAGTGACTGTTAATTTATCGAGGGCCTTCTGATTGAAAAACTGGAAGAACTCCTAAAATGGAACATTCAACAAATCAGTTCCAACGAGGTCATGCTCCTCTTTAACTCTCAGCGTCAAAATATTCCTCCCCCCAGATTCTCTGCAGGTTTTCATGTACCAATCATGGAATCTTCGCATCATCATTGTTATAGATGTTTCATCTTTGACGAGAGGCTTCCC